GGTGTGTGGGGGGGGGATGGGCTAAATAGGTATGGGGCACTAAGGAATCTACTCCTGAAATCACTGTTGCACTATATGCTAACTAATTTGGATGTAAATTTTAAAAAAATAAAAAATTAAATAAAACAAAAAAGAGTTACAATGTCTAGGGATGCCTGGGTGGTTCAGTCAGTTAAGCGTCTGACTTTGGCTCAGGTCATGATCTCACAAGTTCATGAGTTCAAGCCCTGCATCAAGCTCTGTGCTGACAGCTCACAGCCTGGAGCCTGTTTTGGATTCTGTGTCTCTCTCTCTGCTCCTCCCCCCGCTCATGCAAGTGTGCGTGCGCGCGCTCTCTCTCTCTCTCAAAAACAAAATAAACATTTTAAAAGTCACGTGTTTTACTGACTGAGCCAACCAGGCATCCCTGCCTAAAAAGTATTATAATCACAATCTACTACTCGGCCATCACATGCAGTTTGAAAAATGCCTTCTGCACGTGACACTTTCCCTGACTCATCAGCCTGGATCAGGATTCCCTTGTTTAAGTGCTCACTGCACTCTTATTTTCCTGCAGAGCTCTCTTCACATTTTGTAATGTTGTCATTTCCCCCCACTGGACTGTTAAGTGTCCTGAAAGCAGGAACCAGGGCAAGGACACTCACTATTAGCCTAATAAGTATTTGCAGAGTGAATGAATGAACAAAGAAATGAAACTCACATTTAATGTGTTATTCCTCCCAGGACTATTTTCCTTTAGATTTCTAGTACGTTAATAGCCGGATTTTAGTAGATTTCTGGGACAGAGAAAACTGGATGGAGGAAGTGAATTATAAGGTACCTACACCCTATCTTGATGTATTTAAGAGAGAATCTGATTTTAAACATGATTTACAGATATCTATTTTATAAAACTTTGGAGTCATCCTTTACTGTTCTCTCTCATTTCTTACCCATCAGCAAATCTTGTCAGTGTTACATTTAAAACATATTCAGAGTTCCAGTACTTATGACCCCTGTCTACATGCCATAATATATCAGAATCATTACAATCCTAGTTGTTCTCCCTGCTGGTGCCCTTGCTCCCTTCAGTCTCAACAGAGTGACCCTGTTAAAATGTAAGTAAGGGGCGCCTGGGTGGCTCAGTCGGTTAAGCGGCCGACTTCGGCTCAGGTCATGATCTCACTGTCCGCGAGTTCGAGCCCCGCGTCAGGCTCTGTGCTGACAGCTCAGAGCCTGGAGCCCGTTTCAGATTCTGTGTCTCCCTCTCTCTCTGCCCCTCCCCTGTTCATGCTCCGTCTCTCTCTGTCTCAAACATAAGTAAACGTTAAAAAAAATTAAAGAAAAAATGTAAGTCAAATTGAGTCACTCATTATAGAGCCCTCAATGGTTTCTCTTCTCAGAGTAAAAGCCTTCTTTTACAGTGGCCTCCCTGCTTAATTTTTTTCTCCATAGAGAAAATTTTTCTCACATTGCCTTCTAATGTGCCATATATTTTACTTGCTTATTGTCTTGCTCTCTCTACTAGGATGTAAGGTCTATGAGGGCAGAGACTTCTGTAGTTTTGTTTACTGCAGTGTCCTCCGAGGCAAGAACAAAGCTTGGTGAAAAGTAGCCATTCAATAAACTACTGAATAAACGAATGCATCCATAGGGAAATCCAAGTAAATGCGCAATAATTAGGCAGTGTAAATCTGTGATACCCACTAATCTATCTCATTCTCGTCTGCAGGTATTTACTGAAGACCCAATTCGTGTGGGCACGGTGCTGCGCGCCCCACGCGTTTGGCAGCTGAATGAGTTCTCCCTAAAATGCAATAAGGCCTTTTCAGGGCAGTCCTACTCACTCTGTAGTCAAAACGAAGGATGCAGGTTAAAAACTTAGGTCATTTCTTCAAAGAGATAAAGGAGTAGGAGGAAAGGAGTAAGGGGGAAAAACATAAAGAGAAGAGCTCCTGCCTTCGTGTTCCTGGCCTTTCTCTTCCACACTAGGATCCGAGAGGCTGTTTCCCTACTCCTCTGCGGTAAGCGGGAAAGATACCCCCATGTTGGCGTAACAATCTGGGGTACCCGAGGAGGGGAGATAGTCTCCAGACCGGCTTCACTTTTTCCACCTAAGGAACCAAGCTATAGTGTTTCCCTGGCAACGCTCAGCTTTGGGGGACCTTTTCTTCTCCTCCTCCAGCTGGCTACCATCTTGCCTTACTCTGTTTCAAAATAATAAATGTTGCAGTTTACAAAGATGAAAAGACGGAGGGAACTGTAAGAGTGCTCCTGAATGTGGTTTGTTTCAGTCCGAAGGCAACTGAAGCCTTTTTTTTTTTTTTTTTTTTTTTTTTTTTTTTGGGGGTCGCGGAAGATGCCTAACTGAGGGCGGGGCGGAGAGGTGTTTATCCCATAAGGCCACGCGGTGGGACCTCCCCTCTCTTTTTCCGCCATCTTGGAACCTGTGGAGGTGAGGGAGTTCTGCTGCCGAACTTTGGGGGCAAATAAGCGGGGGTGAGCTCAACGGTATGCCTCGGCAAGGCACTGGTGCCGCTCGGAGACTCTGCTAGCTAGTGATTTCTGTGGATTCCAGCAACAGAGAGGACAGGATTGAGGAGATGCGGGGCTGATGGTATTGGTCCCCGGGCGCCCGGAGAACACGCCTTCCCGTAATCTGTGTTGCTTCCTGGGCCTCAGCGGAGTAATAGATGCATTTTGTCCATATGCGGTCCCCCGTTTGAGGCAGTGGCTCCTTTAGTATGCGTTCTTTTTCTGTGTTCCCACTCCAAACCTGGTGTTGTCTACAGTCTCCCTTTCTTCCTCAGCTTTTCTTTCCCATGCGAGGCTTTAATCTCATTTTCTGTGTGCTTCTCTGCTTTCTCGAGCTTCATTATTTTTTTTTCCTACTGATCGTGGCATGAATTTTTTTAGGGCTTCCTTTTGGAGTTTCCGGGATCTATTTCTTTCACTGTACAGTCTTGGCATTTTCGTTTTAGTCCTCATTTTGGAGTTTGCTCCGTTATCAGGCATTCTCAGGCTGGTAAGTCTTGCCCGACTGTGCTTCTAGTAGAGTTCATGGTATCATTACGTTACCCCATAGTCTTCACGTGATAAGCTGTGCAAAAAGGAATTTGACCGGTTTAAGAAAGGAGAGGGGACTGGGTGGAAAACGTGCGTTGCAAGATTTTAAACTGTTTTTTTGTTTGTTTAAGGCCTGCTGGGAACAGGACTCCTGAAACGACAAATATGTCTGGAAGGTACAAGTTTTAAATTTAATTGCTTTGTATTTGTAGTGTTTTGTCTATTAGGCATGAACATAAACGTGAGCTTAAAACTAATGGGAAAAAAACTAGATGTTTGCTAATAGATTTTAAGTAGGGCTCCTTACAAGTCAGATCTTACAGGTGAAGTGAAATGTGAGACCTTTTAATCACTTACTACTCTCTATTTTGTCTTAGGCTGTGGTCCAAAGCCATTTTTGCTGGCTATAAGCGGGGTCTCCGGAACCAGAGGGAGCACACAGCTCTTCTTAAAATTGAAGGTGTTTATGCTCGAGATGAAACTGAATTCTATCTAGGCAAGAGATGTGCTTATGTGTACAAAGCAAAGAAGTAAGTTTATAGTATTAATACCTTTTAAGTTTTTAGTTAAGGTTTGTCTTGTTTTCCTGTTCGAAGAAGAGTAATAAAAAAATGTTGGTAAAGTAGTTGGTACTGTTTTTTCTACTTTGGATCTTTAAGTATCTTCACTGGAGGTTATAGAAGGATGTTATTGTCCAGGTAGTATTGGATTTAGATGTCTTCTACATTTGGAAAAATTACAACTGTTAATTGTTTCAAGGAAGGAACCAGCCTCTTATATTAGGCTCTTTTTAAGGTGTTAGAGAACAGTTTTCCGTGTACCTTAATTACTTTTGTTGATTTCTTGAATTTATGTTATGTACATGCTTATGATGTGTCTAGAGCATTGGTTCTTAAACTTGTTTCACACCAATTGAAGTCTGGGGACATGGCTTTCTTTCATCTTTGCCCTCCCTTTCTTCCTGCAACGAGATTGATCCTTTAAAATTGTAATTCAGATCACCTGTACATTGCTCAGATTCCAACTTTCCGTGTCATTTAGTAACAGCAAAGGTCATGAAGGAGGCATTCAGGAGTCCCTAGTTCTACTCTTAACCTAGGTAGGATTCATTCCATTCCTTCGCTTTTCCACAAACCAGGGAACACAGCTTTCTCAGGTTTTAACACAGGCTGTTCTTACAGTTTTTGTTCAGTGTTATTTTCTCAGTAAGGCCTTTCCTGGCTGTTTAAAATTAGCAAAGAAATTTCCCCCTCTTCAGACACAAATATATTCACACTAGTTCCCTTTTTGTTGTTGTTTTTTTTTTTTTTGTAAATATTGCAATTATTAACAGGTTGACATATTTTACATGTTATTACTTCGTTATTTGAAAGGGATTTTATAAAAGCGTCTGGCATATAGTAAGTACTCAATTACTTGTTGCATGAATGATGCCCCAGACTTTTTTAGTTTCTCAGGTGACTACTTTTGTGAGCCACTGGTCTAGAGGTCATCTTGAATTTGTATTACATTTGACTGGTTGCCTCATTTCTCATGTCTCTTCTCCCCTTTTAAAATTAGCAACACAGTGACTCCTGGTGGCAAACCGAATAAAACTAGAGTAATCTGGGGAAAAGTAACTCGTGCTCATGGAAACAGTGGCATGGTTCGTGCCAAATTCCGAAGCAACCTTCCTGCTAAAGCCATTGGCCACAGAATCCGTGTAGTAAGTACAATTATTAGCAATGTGACACACGAGTCCATCTAAGCTTAGGGTTGGGCTCTGACCTCTAAAGACTAATGTGATTTTAAAGTGTTACCAGTGGATTGTGCGCAAAATCAGTAGCTATTGTGTAGATGTAGTAAGAAACATCAGATTTCTTGGCATCAGAAGGAAAGTGAAAGCAGAGTGTTCAAATGGATTACATCTAGGTTTCAGATTTTTGCCAAAGCTGTAGGGGGTGGGGATAGTATTTAAATAAACAATTTTCTAGCAAAGATTTATTGGATACAAGTAGTTGTTAGAAGACTACCTTTTCCTGGCATAATTCATAATATTCCCGTCTCTGTATCAGGACAGTCTTGTTAGAATAGGTGTTACTGTTCTTATTTTATAGTAGAAAGTAGACGCTCATATGACAGTCTTGGTAGAATAGGTGTTACTGGGGTGCCTGGGTGGCTCAGTGAAGCGTCTGACTTTAGCTCAGGTCATGACCTCGCTGTTTGAGCCCTCCGTCGGGCTCTGTGCTGACAGCTCAGAGCAGAGCCTGGGGCCTACTTTGGATTCCCTGTCTCCCTCTCTCTGCCCCTCTCCTGCTTTTGCTCTGTCGCTCTCTCTCTCAAAAATAAACATAAAAAATTGTATAAAATAGGTGTTAATACTTACAGAAGAAAACCAATGCTTATGTTTCTAGGTCCCAGGCCTTTGGTTCAAGTCTTGGAGTCCAGATGCTGTGGTTTCCTTCCTTCCTTCCTTCCTTCCTTCCTCCCTCCCTCCCTGTTATTAAGGAAATTCTTATAAGTTATTTATTTTGAGAGAGCACAAGCAGGGAAGAGGCAGAGAAGGGGAAAGACAGAATCCCAAGCAGACTCCCCGCTGAAGCCCCACAGGCTCAAACTCATGAACTGGGATATCATGACCTGAGCCAAGATCAAGAGTCAGATGCTTAATGACTGAGTCACCTGGGCATCCCTCCCCTCCTTTTTTTATTTTGACAGACCTAGAATGTGAGTGGAGGAGAGAGAATCCCAAGCAGGCTCCATGCTATCCGTGCAGAGCCCAACATGGCGGTTAAGAGTTTGATGTTTAACCAACTGAGCCATCCAGCCACCCTTGGATGCTGTGATTTTCTAAAGTAGTTCCTCTTTTACTTAGTGTTCATTTTGAGTAGACATGGGAATATTCTTGGGGTCAGAAAGTTACTTTTGAAGCCTGCTGAACCTTGAGATTTCTCTTCAGGAAGTTTTTTAATCTTACTAGAAGCAGCAAAATTGGGGGCACCCGGGTGACTCAGCTGGTCTGTTAAGTGTCCGACTTTGGCTTTGGTCATGATCTCGTGGTTCATGAGTTCAAGCCCCACATTGATCCCTGCATTGGATCAGATTTAACAGTACAGAGCCTCCTTGGGATTTTCATTCCCTCTCTTTCTCTCTCTGCCCCTCCCCCACTTGCACTTTCTGAAAATAAATAAACTTAAAAAAAGAAGCAAAATTGAATGGATTTTCAGTTCTCCCAGTACAAAATGTTCATGTAGATCACTATAAAAACTTAGTTCTTAAAAAAAAAAACAAAAAAACTTAGGTTTGTTCCCACTAGAATATAAGTCATTGGATCTGTTTTAGAGATGAGTAATGGGACAATGGGAGATTTATCCATATTGTTGTACTCATAACTTTTATGAATTTATATATTACATGCATCTAATGACACCGTGTTTTCTTTTTTTTTTCCTAGATGCTGTACCCCTCAAGGATTTAAACTAACTGAAAAGTAAATAAATAAAGGTGTAGATTTGTTCTCTTGTATTTTTGTTAAATAGCTTAAAATTTTCTTTTTCCCAAATTTGGTTGCTATTTAAATGGTGGCAGTTATCCAGCATTTTCAGAGTACAAGGAAGCTAGGGAGTTCTATGTGATGGCAATTACAGAGATTTAGACAATAGGGTTTTAATGAGGATAGGATATGAGTATCTTCATACAAGGCCTTACATGGTCAGGGAGGGGGGCAGAGTAAGCTTTGATCAGAGGCATTGGGAAGGAGTATCTTGAAGGTATAAAGTGCTGGAGCATAGGGTATTCCAGGAAGGACAGAAGACAAATATTAGTACAAATATATACCGTGACACTTTTCCAGGCTTCATGTTAAAATGGGCCTATAACTCTTGCCCATAACAGTTTATTTCAACTTTTATTACATATAACTAACTGCCTTCCTTGTTAGATTGAGAGTCCATGAAAGAAACTTAAAATTATTTTTGATGGCCTTCTAAATTACCTTATGATGTATGTAGTTGTTAAGATAGATTGGTTTGGAAACTTGTGACTTAATGGTAGTTGGGAGAACCTGAAGATTATATTGATGGTATTTGGCAGCACGGCAGGGATGA